TTCTTCACCACGGCTCCATAGTAGACAATGACGAAGCCACAGAAGGCCCAGGCCAAAGGCTCAATGCCTCAGAGGCCAAGATAAAACGCCTCACAGGCCATCGATTTCAGCGGCTGCGGCCGATGAGCGCAGGTGCTACAACCCGGACGGGTTGTAGTTGTAGGATGTTGTAGGTCTCAACATGTCTCAGCTGTGATGCCCGACCGCTTTCTAAAGCAATCATTCTGGGCACAAGACTTGCTTTGTGAGGAATTATGTTTGTCGCCAGCGTGCAAATCCAAACAGGGATCTTGCTCATAACTAGTGGTGGTTTGAGGGGCGAGTCGGAAATCCATTGGTCATGCCAAGATGCCATAGAAGACGTCAAAGTACTCTTTCCCTCAGTGGAAACTTGCGTATCCTGTCTCTCTGTCCCTCTCTGCCGTCATCAGATCGTGATCTTTAAACTCGCATCTATTGTGGATGAATGTGGATGATTGTGCTCGCTTGACACGTCACGTAAATAATGATAAGATATCAAAAGTAGTATAACGTTGAACACCACTCACTTCAGAACCAATCAGAACACAGTGAAGACTTCTTTGTACTGATCTATATAGAGGCAGGCCCAAAACACTTGCGGTAACTTTCCTCAGTCTGGCCAGTGCTGGCCTTGTTCAAGTCATCTCGATTCAAAAGAAATGCTCGTCTCTTCTGTGGCTGTTTTGCAATTTAGTTCATCGTCGACACGTGCTCTTCCTGTGAAACAGGTGGCCCTTGAAGACGAAGGCATCTGCTCCCATTGGCACGGTGGCCAACACCGCTGCGCCAGCTGCCACTGCGGGGTCTGCGGTGGTGCGCGCAGGCGCTGAGACAAAGGCGATGTTTCGGAGCATGCAGAGGGCCTGAGCTGTCAGGCTGAGGAGGATTCCAGGCGTTACAAAGGTCCCATGGAGAAACAAGTCGCAAGACATGTAGGTATACATATATATAGAGAGAGAGAGTGTGCGTATATATATATATATTAATATATACCGATTGTTTTCTCTAAATGCCCATAAATATACACGGTAATATATATATATATATACAGTATCGTATATGAATTCTAAGGGAAGCATCTGAACAAGTCGTCATGAACTCTCTGTAGCTAAGCTGCAGCAGCCAAGATGCACAAAGCAGCGACACGAGCCATGGCGCAGGAGAGACAGGTGCGGGAGGAGACTCGATTGCTTGGCTGACTTAAGCTCTCAATGCAGGGCGATTTTAGCTGTGCTCTGGATTCGTCAGTTTGTCGGGACAGAAATATCTGTCCCGTCTGCACATGGCATCCAACCATCCCAATTCAAAAACATTCCACAAAACCAACGGATGATCAATAGATCGTTCACTGTTTGTTTTCGCAAACTGTCGTGAGGTATTTCAAAAGCACTTCTTTTGCTCGTTAACTCCGGAGCGCTTCTGGTGCCAGGCCGACGGCGCACTTTGGCGTAGAAAGGCTCCGGAAAAAGTCGCCCACAGTGACGCATCACTGCTTCGGGATGCCACGCCT